GACTGAGTGAGTGAGTAGCCAACAAATTTAACAGACAGCACCACTGATATAAAGACTGAATTGAGCCTTCATCAAGCAAAGCAGCACAAAGACCACAGGAAGGCTGTTAAAGCAGATGCTGCCCGTCCCTGGCCCGTCGCCTGTACCCCTGTGTGCACACTGGCTGAAATTCTAGATGCCTTTCTCGGCCTGGGGGCTGTTTCCTGCTACAGCAGCTCACTTTGCCATCCGCTTGGCAGGCCAGAAGTGTCAAGGAATTAACACTGCCCTCAAGGCAGAATCGGTTGGCCAGTGACTGGAGGCCTGGTGTATAAACGGCCCGGCTCCTTCGCTCCTTGGATGGAGAGCTAGCAGGCTTACGCCCCAGGAGCCCACAGTGAGAACTGGTTTGATGACACTATCATCTGCTTCCCTTTCTGTGTCACTTCCTCGTTTCTCCAGCCTCCCCCCCCCCCCACAAATAAACAACTTGGCCTTGCATTGTTGCTTCTGGAGGAACCTGCACGGGAGAAATTTCAGTGAGGTGCTACAGGGAGAATCAGGCGCAGTCAGCTGAGTAAATGCAACGCAGAGAGGTAAAGGTGATGAATTTACACGATCTTTTTTTTAATTTGCCTGAGAAGGGGAGAGAGAAGAGAGGGCCAGAGACAACTCAGTCATTAAGAGACAATTGAGCATGTTTAGAAGCGAAAGCACTTTCTCTTTAGACAATAGAAAAAGGCTACTGTTGGGGAGGCGCAGCAAGAAGCTGGAGGAAACACGGGGCGGGGGGAGGGGGGGAGGAAGACCACGCAGATCACACATGGGGGGTTGACCTCATCAGGAGAAAATGCTTCCAGCTCTGGGACTGGCAGAAAGGGTTTAAAGACATATGCATATCCTGATAAACATGTTGGGGCCAGTGGAGGCAAACTAGTCTGGAGAGAGGCTGGTGCTCATCCATTCACGGTGGCACGGTGAGGGATTGGTGGGATGAGTGTGGCCAGAGGATGGGCAGCAATGGCACTGAGGCTGTTAGAGAGAGCGGCCAACCATGTGCCCTAGACTGGGGGCGTGGAACCAGGCAGGAGCTGTCCAAATGGAAGAGCACACAAAGCTCATGGGCCCAGAGACCTCTCTGGCTAACCTGGGCCCTTGAGCGCCTGCTCTGCACAGGCACTGTGCTATGGAGACCGGCACCACGTGTAGACGCCCGCTCCTGGACCGGAAGGGATGCGTGCCTTAGGTAGAGCAAGACTCGGGAGTTCATTCATCCGAACTCATGAAAGCAACGAAACTCTCTGAAAGGCAGGCAGAGCCAGAGCCTGAGCTGAGAGTTACCTTTCCCTGACTCTGCTGTTACCTGGGAAATGGTAGGTGAATTTCTGATTCTGTTTGGCTGATGAGACCAAAAATAGATTGGCAGAGTGTAAACACGGGGATGCAAGTAAGCATAATATCTGCCCGGGTGCGATTTTTCCACAAGCACGTAGGAAATAAATTCTTCCTAAGACGTGAATACAAAATCAATGTTTTTGCTGTGTAAATTCAAAGAGAATTTACAGAAGGGCTAGTTTAGCCAGTCCGGCACAAAAAAAGAGAAAATGATCTGTGGTTTTCCAGGAAGTACAAAATGGCAGAGCGTGCCTCTTGGCATGAGGAAGGACAAAAGGAGAGCACGTCGTATCATAGAAAGTGTCTGGAGTATGTCTGGGTCTGCACGCCTGAAAAGCAGGCAGACACCCCTACCTAACAGTCTGAACCTCAACCCCGGTACCCGGTGCTGTCAGTGAGCCCTCTCAGAGCCTCGGCATAATTGCTCTGGGTCAGCACTCTTTGGAAGTAAGTCCTAGCTTGTCAAATATGTAAGCATTTAGAATTGCATTGTTGTTCGGCAGTGCTGATAATTCCAAACAAACTCGAAACTATAGTGTTATAGATAGATGACAGATAGATAGATAGATAGATAGATAGACTGACATAGACGTAGACATAGATATACATATATCTTCTTCCACAGTGTCAAGGGGAAAGTAGGGTGGTTTCTACTCCCTTACCAATGTAACCAGCATGTAGTCATTCAGTGGGTGCATTTGTCTTAACCTTTAGAAGCGATGCCCTGTCACGCCTAGCCCAGGACAGTGCATGGTCAGTAAAACACCGAGCCCTGCTTGCTTCAACTTGACACTCAAAGCTAAGCACTCTGTCTCTGTAAGACCAAATTCTGGGGAGAAGCTGAGAGCCACTTCGAACTTTACCCTCTTGCAATACAGTTATCTCTCCTGGGCTTTGATTTCATCACCTGCTGAAGTGAAACGAGAAAGAAAAAGCAGCTGGAGGAGGAGAAGGACCAGGCAGGTAGAACCCCTGGATGCGGGCTGGGGGTGGAGGCAGCCGAGCTCGGGGCGGTTCCTGGAGGGAAGAGAAGCAGCATCGAGGGAGGGACCGCTCAGAAATCCCATCTGAGCAGCTGGACCGGGGGGCGAACGTCATTTTCTTTGATTGCCCCGAGCTTGGTGCATTGCTGTGCACATGGTCTCGATGAATAGGCTAGAAAATACATGTGGAGAAAGACTGGCCCTCCAAGCTTCTGGTGTGCGGGGCCCAATCTGGTACAAGACATTCGGTGAAGGGATGAGTCAAAGGCACACACAGCACTGCCCAGAGATGTGCGCCTGGCCCCCGTCACTCACAGGCCCCAGTGGCTTCCACAAATCCACAGATCCTCTGCTCCCAAAGCAGAGCCCTGAGGAGCCAGAAGAGGCTTGGCCCCGGAAACATGTGTCAACCCTAAAGGCAAGGGCGACCTGTGAATCCTAAAATCTTGAGGAACTGAGAGCATAAATTAAAAGGGAGATGCCAGACCTTCCTCCCATCAGATATGAGAATGTTCCATAGGCTTCAAGGAATGATACCAATCAGATCCTAAGACTTGAATATTCTCTAGTTTTTAAGATCTATCCAAGGGAATTACTAAGGATCCGAAAGGTTTTTTCACTATTTGTTTAACCTTTAAAGGTCAGAACTCGGGGATGGCGCCATTTCAGAAAGCAAGTCTGCTTCAGAAAATCCTGTTTGGCCCTTTCTTTAAGCGCAATTTAGTCACTCTGCTTAAGAGTGATTTTTCCCCCTTTAACCTTCCCCTCACCCCTTTGGTTTGGGAGAGCCAACGAGCATCAGCAGAGGGAATGAACCTGTGGTGAAGCAATGGCTCCAGTGCATCCCCTCAGGGAATCTGAGAAGGAAAAATGAGTATCTCAGGAAGGGCCCAAATGGTGCATCCTGTGTCACGGGGCACCGTGAGCAGAGGCTTCTGGGTCCCCCCATCCCGGGTGAGCGACAAGCTGAGGAGGCAAGGCCAGCCTGATAGCCACTGAGAAAGTTAACTGAGGGAATCAGATCAGACACAGCATCATAGGATGTCCTTGAGTTTAGCTGGGCACAGACAGATGAACTTGGCCTTCACGGCCTTCCATCTATTGTCCACGCCCTGCCTGAACTCCCAGCCACCCAAGGAGCCACCGCAAACTCACCGCAAATGGTGGCCTGAAGCCACCCCCACAGATGACCTGCCTCGTATCCGATTTGTTTCCTCTACTTCTCACACTTCCTAACCACTGCCGTCAATCACAGCTCACCTGGCCAGGCTCCCTGGACTCGGGCTCCTTGGGAGACCATGATTAACGACTCGGTCACCCAGCATACAACTTCCTGTTCCGGAGTTAGAGACTGGCAGCCTGTTACCTCTTTCACAAATGAACCTCGCCTGATCTTGCATATTTTTAATGCTCTCGCTTTTGGTGCCATGTTTGTGGCCCCCTCCACATGTCTTTACCGCACATCACAGATAATGTGGGTCATTTACTTATGCATCGTTTTGGTCAGTGCTTCTCAAAGGGTGGTCTGCATTCCAACGGAGTCATTATGCTAGGGTGGAAGTGCCACTTATTGGAAATGCAGATCTGCAGATCTCATGGGTCACTCAGGGAACTGGATTCTCTGGAGGCCTCCTTAATACGCTCCTCATTTGATTCTTCTGCAGAGTAAATCGGTAAACAGCAAGGGACAAGCACACTTTGTAACGGGCTATGCAGAGTAAGTATGAGAATCTCAAATACAATTAACACTCCCCATTAACCTTCAAAGCAGCTTCATTTCCAAATGTTAAAAGGACTAAAAAATTGGTCTGTCATGTGTGTGGGCAGGGAGTATATAGGAAATCTCTGTGCCCTCCAATTTGGTGTGACCCTAACACACCTCTAAAAATGGAGTCTACAAAAAAAAAAAAACAAAAAAAACTGACCCACCTAAGATGAGACATACAAATGCATCTCTGGCTCACCTTCTCTCTGCATAGTCTACTTACCCTAGACTAACCTCCTCTCTGAAGCCCCAGATGGGCCGAGCGCTGCTCCAGGCTCCCATAGCCCCAGTGCACTTACTGATTATGACAATATTAAGGTATGTACGTCCTACACTGTGACCATCTACTCCCTTGTTTCATCCTGGTGAGTTACCACTGACTTTTCACTGATGTATTCCCATTCCCCCCACCATGATACATGGAACCCTGGGGAATGCTATCAAGATCGTTGAATGATGGAATGAGTGAATGAATGAATGAATGATGTTGCCACTGAGATGAACAGCAGCTGAAGTGTTTCAGGAGGACGGGTGGAGGACCTGGCCAAACCTCTCCTTTTCTACACATGCTCAGTTATCCCTAGAGTCGCCCTTCTTGTCCAAGAGGCACAGCGACGGAGGGCCTCCTTTGCACGCTCTATTTCTGGGGTGGATACTCTGAGTTGATAAGGCAATCACTTGCAGTCCTCACAGACAAAAGAAGCAATGGCTACTGTCCCTTGAAGTACTGCTCTCCGGCTCTATGAGGAAAACAGCAGCCACGCTAGGTATTTCAAAGAAGGGGATTTAATGCAGGGAATTGACACCGGGTTGGCAAGGCCGAGAGAGGGCCACTGAGGGAACCCAGACGTTAGTAAACACAGGAGGCAGCTACTAACCTTAGGGCGGGGGCAACAAAAGGGAAGAGACGGTGTTACCAGAACCTAGAAGCTTTGACGGGGGACCCCCCACGGCTGGTGCCCGGCCCTCTCTGGGGGCTGCTGCGCGGCGGCTGCTTGGACTTCTGAGGGGGCCGCTGCTTGGCTGGTGGTGGTCGGACCTCTGGGCGGGGGCGCGGTTGACGCTCGGACCTCGGAGGGGACCGTGGCTTGGCAGGTGCTCTGACCACCGCGGGGGGTGCCGCTGGCTGTTGCTTGGGCTTCTTGGGGGATGTTGCCCGGCGGCTGGTGCTGAGGGGGCCAAAAGAAGCTGGAGGCTGGAGCCGTGGCTCTCCTCGGCTGCCTAAGGGATGCTGGCAGGAGCTGGGCACAGGGAGGCGGGCCCTGCCCCCCCACCTTCCGGGGCCCCGGCCGGCGCCCGCTCACCTGGTCTTCTGGCAGGCACAGCAGATCCAGTCCTCTTCCTTCTTCTGGTAGAAGCAGCCGCTTCTACAGATGCTGTACTTCCGGTCCACGATCTCGCGTTTGGAGTTGAGGAAGGTGAAAGGCGGGCAGCAGTGTATGCTGAAGTGCTCCGAAAACTTCTGGTTCTTGGAGAGTCTGGGGCCCTCCTTCACCGTTTTCTGACTCATCTCACTGGAAATCATTGATGCGAGGAGAGGAGGGGGGAGACACGACATAGCACATCAGGCAGAGAGCTGTCGACTGGAGGAGCCCCCTCCCTGCTATTCCCGGGGTCCAAAACTCACATTCAGCCTCGTCCTCCACTCTGAATCTGAAAGATCCACTTTGGAAAGGGATTAAGGGTTTATTCATTTTTATGTGCCTACTTTTTAATTTTGCTTTCTGAAAATGGACACTTTCTTACGTATGTGTCAATGACCCATTTAGGATAGGAAAAATATTACAAAACCAAACATTCCTGTGGAAAAATAATATTCTAGGTTTCAGAAAGAACTCTTCTTTAAAATAATGATAATAAGAATAGTTTGGTACTAAAGCTGTGGTTACTATTCATACACACACATACTGCACCCTCATGAAAAAGAACAATTGACATGTTTGCATCTCACAAACACAACGTTAGACAAAAAAACCCTGAACACAAAGGAATACCAGCTGTACGCCTCAGCTTACATGAGGTTCAAACACAGGCAAAGCCAGTCTGTGGTGCTAGAGATCAGAACATAGCAATGTTTGGAGAAGGTGAGGTCCGGCTAGCAAGGGGCATCAAAGAACCTTCTGGGGACAGAAGATGTCCTGGGTCTTGAGCTAAGAGGTACAAATTCAGTGAGCTATGCACTTAATTTTTGTGCGTCTTACTGTTTACTTCAGTTAAAAAGAATGAGGAGAAGGAAGAAGACTGGGAGGAGGTGGGAATCGAAGAGGAATTTGAGTCTTGGAAAAAACTCCCAAGCAGCGGTAGAAAATTTAATTACCGCAACATCCTTTTGAGGAATGTGACAAATGCGAATGTGACAAATGCAGTAATGGTCCCACCAAACACAACAACAGTGTCACACACGGGGCACATAAGTGACTTTATATATATATATATTTATTTATTTCTAGGAGAGAGAGAGAGAGAGAGAGAGACAGCGTGAGCAGGGGAGGGTCAAAGAGAGAGGGAGATACAGACTGTGAAATAGGCTCCAGGCTCTGAGCTGGCAGTCAGCACAGAGCCCGACGCGGGGCTCGAACCCAAGAACCGCGAGATCATGACCTAAGCGAATGTCGGACGCTCAACCGACTAAGCCACCCAGGCGCCCCAATAAGTGACTGTTAATCAATAAGAGTTGACAGATCCACACGGGCGACGCGCATACATTAGCCAAGGAGAGTGTCCTTGCTGCCGACAAACCCAAGGTCAAGTTAGACACACAGCTGTGCTATGCGTAATGACTCACAGTGTGAGCATTAGAAGTACGTACAAAGGCCGAGGGAAGCGCACTGAGAAGGTGTGAATTATTTGAAGACAGAACAGATGACCTGGGTTTTAAGGATGAATATATTGGAAACAACCGCATTACTCTGAGGGGATATTTTCATTATTGTGGCTTTTGATTATGCTCTCTTCTGCAAATAGAAACGAGGGCTGGGGCGCCTGGGTGGCTCAGTCGGCTGAGCATTCGACTTCGGCTCAGGTCATGATCTCATACTTTGTGAGTCTGAGCCCCACGTCGGGCTGACAGCTCAGAGCCTGGAGCCCTGCTTCAGATTCTCTCTCTCTGCCCCTCTCTTGCTTGCACTCTGTATCTTTCTCTCTCAATAAATAAATAAATAAATAAATAAATAAATAAATAAATAAATAATAAGCATTAAGAAATGAGGGCTGAGGAGCGAACTGAGTGCAGTTAAGAAAACAAAATACTTTTTTTTTTTGCAGTTCGGTTTGAATAGTCCAAACCATGCACTACACCTGTTAAGTGTGTTGCAAACTTCCTTTCCTGGTGTTTCTCCTGCTTTTTCATGAAAAAATAATTTCTATGTAATCAAGTTTCTCAGTTCTTCACCATTCATCAGCTTCTATACATAGTGAGGTATATCCCACTGTAAAAGAAAAGTCCCTCTCGATCCCACTTTCACATCTATTTTCCTGTCTACAGCTCCTCCTCTTTATAGGCAAAGTTTTTGAAAGAGTATCAGTGCTCTTTGTCTCCATTTCTACATCTGTCCTCAGGGGACTCCAATCTGGCTTCTGCTCCTTTCCTCCCAAAGAAAAATGGTCTCCATAGCCCCCCAGAGGTTGTCTTTTTTCATCCCTCCCTCCATCCAAAGGCTTCCCTTCCTGTCACACCACATTCTCCTAGAGCCCCTCTATCTCTAGCCCCTTTTTATCCTTTGGATAAAGATTCATCTACTTTTATTCAAGACTTTTAATGTTACAGTTCTTTGAGGTACAGTAAACGCTAAGTGATTTATGATTTATGATTATGATTCAACCATTCAATTCAGCACTTATCATACACTTAGGTCAAGCCACCACAGTGCTCAGCTGCTCATGGACACAGAGTTGAATCGTGCTTAGTCCAGTCCTCACAAAAGTTATCCGCAGGCTGGGGAGACAGGCAAGGATGCACATGGGGTGTTGATGGCCATAACACCCACTTATTGGGTGCGAGTATGTACAAGATCCTAAAGGAGTTAAGGGGACGGATCAGCTCAGCAGCCCGCTGACACTGAGCTCACAGTGTAGACGTCGGTAGGTGGACATGAGAATGCCTGGGTAAAACGCTCTGGAGGGTCCACAGGAGAGGGGCGACATGCTGGGCTGAGGAAGCAGGTGAAACATCCTGGGGAGAAACATTTCATCTCACCCTGAGATTTGGACAGCCAGAGATGAGGGTATTTGGAGGGGTGAGAATGGTTGGTACCTAAGCAAAGACAAAGAGGGGTCAATTACAGCGCCCTGAGAGCCCGCCCTGCCTGCAGTGCAGGGTGGGAGAGGAGAGGGTGGCCAGATGCAGGTGATGAGGCAGGACGGAGTTACCTGTCGCAGTGAAGGACCCGGCCCTGGTGACCGGGAGCGCCATCATGCCATCAGCCCACCAGAAGTCTAAATGGATGAGAAGGAGTGGGATCATCTCATCGTCAGGAATACCGTGAGATTAAGGCACTCAGGACACTCGGGTGGAAGGTGGGCATCCAAAACTCAGCGGCCAGAGCCGCCATCTTGAGAGGCCTTCACCTCTGGAAGAAGCACAGCCTTGGGAATGGAAGTGATGAGTAGGCACTGAGCAAGGAGCCAGGCCAGGGAAGGCTCCGGGAGGGGTAGTGGGCCTACCTTCCTGCTTCAGGGAGAGGGGCAAGGGAAGAAAGAAGGGCAGAGGCAGCCTGAGAGGCGAGAGGAGGAGCAGCCTCTTAGAAGCGAAATTTCCAACTTTGCAGAGAAGATGGTCAACAGTTCCCAAGGAAACCTTTCTTAGTGCCAACAGGCATTTGGAGAACAATGAGGAACTAAAGTTGATTTTTAGGGTCTGATTCATTGTAAAATCCTTAAAGAGGTGCCAAATCCTCACTCAAATCCTGCACAGTGTGGCGAAAAGTTCAGCTCAAGTTTGAAAATAATGAAACACCCCCAGGCTAACCTAGAAGTCACTTCTTTCAGCACATGGAGACAATGTTACCCAGCTTTTCACAGCCAATCCGGACACCCCCCAATTCCTCCAGCTTTCTGGAATCCTCTTTTCCCAAACGGGTCAGACAGGCATTCATCACAAATAGCAGAGAACCTAGCACTTGCCCTAAATTTTCACGAACGACTGGCATGGGGTACGAGGGAGATTTAAAGTCTCCTGACTCTGAATTCCTGCTCTGACTGAATTCTCGATTCCTCCCCACCTGATGTGATGCCTTGGGCCACTCCGTGCCTGTCCAGACCTGCACCCAGACGTTTCTTCCCCCAGCACATCCAGGGAAATTTCTCGAATTTTCAGTCCATGACTTTTCTCGCCCTCTACTGTCCCCCACCATGTCCAGCAGGGGGCAGCCTCACCTCCTGGTACCCTCCGTGTGTGGGTCCCTAAAGCAAAAGCGGTTCTCTTCCTTGGAACCCTGACATCTTTCTAGGGCAACCAGCTGAAAATCCACCGCCCCCCACCCCCTCCGCCCTCAGTATAATATTTATAGTCCGTGGAAAGACTCTGCTACTCTCTCCCGGTAGCGGAAATGCATTTAGTCGGGTAGGTGATCAATTGCATGTCCACACTCCCCTCCAGCTCTGCCCCCCACCTTGCTCCAGTCCAGGGACGCCGAACCCCACACGCTCAGCAACAGCGGTACACACCGAGTCCTCATTTCCCAGCCCAGGCTTACTAGAACACGAGTTCTAACCACAAACAACAGCAGAGGAAAGAACCCACATTTACTGAGCACCCACTGTCTGGTGGCTGCTTCCTACACTTCACCTCCTTTTATAACACGAGCATTTTCACTAACAAACTAAAGGTGAGAGAAGCTGCAAAACATGACCAGCTTCAGAAAGCCAGAAAGGGGCAGCCAGGGGACAGGAGTCCGGGCCCGTGTGGCTCACTGTCTCAGTCCTTTGACCCGGTCCAACACTCTCTGGGCCCCGCTGTGCTCAACCCCACTCTCCCCAAAAGCCTGGACCTTGGGGGACTGGAAATGGGCCAGAGAATGGGACAAGGCTGCATAGACGCAAGGGTCTAGTCTTGGGCTGAAAAAGACTGGGAGTTGGGGAGACCGCTCCCTGAAGGAGGAAGGGTAGAGAATGGGCCTGGGGACGTCACACAGTATGGTGGCCTCGACCTCCCTAAAGAGGTGCGTGATGGGGCACGGGCATTTAAACTCCTGAAGGCAGCGGGACCCATGGGTGCTTCCTCTGTTCCTCCCCAGTTGGCCCTTAATGGGTTTTAAAGTCTATATTTGCTATTGAAAATTAGAAAGTGTTGACGGATCAAAATAACAAAAAGTCCTAAATTTGTATCCCATAGTTAACCACTCACAAAGTATTTGAACATTTTTTCTCTGATGATATTTACATATAAATATACAGTTAATAAAAAGCAGGACCATAACTTACATACTCTTCAGATTTATATACTTGGAAAATCATCCATTTTGTTTAAGTTTTACGGATATACACATTATTTATAATATTCTTATGCTTTTTAAAT